ATGTATCGTGATACGTATCGTATCGTGACTTTGCTGGTGATACACAGCCCTACTATATATAGAATACAGTATATACATAAACGGAATATATATACATAAACACATTTTTTGCAATTATCACTCAAATGTGGTGATCAAACACTTATAATGACGTGACAGATACATAATGGAGACAGGACATTTAACAATTTAACAATAAACTTTATTATCCAAAATGAGTCTGACATCAGTGCACTGAACAGTAAAGTTGAAGTTTATTCAATTTTAATTCAATTCAATTCCATTCAACTTTATTCCGGTAAAGTTTATTTCACTTTGGAACAGCAGCCGATAATATCGGCAAAACGATATATCGGTCGGGCTCTAGTTTTAAGATTCATTTACATGATATTTCCAGGTCTAAATCACATTTTTAAAATTAGGCTTCCTCATATGTCCAGTGTTTTCAAAACTACAGAAACCCTGGCTCTTCAAAGGGGAACAAAGGTATGAAGTAAAATTAATATATTGATGTTCAGGGCCTGAATTTCATTTTGGAGGGGATTTTTTTTATTTGAGGGGGGAGTTAGGGTATTTTTTTAGACATATTTTTAAACCACAATCATCCAACCTAAATGTTTCGTCACCCAATGTATTTGTGTTTTACAATTTATAATGTTGTTGAATCATATTTATATTGTGAGGAAGATACTTAAAAAGAACTTTGATTTCAAACTCTGAATTGAATTTATTTTAACTGAAAAGGAAAGTAAACAGTCAGTAATAAAATAAGAATATATAAATGACAAGCAATGGCACAAGCACAGTTCATTTTAGTTTTATCTTGTTATTGTATTTGTTTAAGTTTTTCAGGTCGGTATAACAGTAAAATTGCCGCGTAAATCAGCCACAGCGTCTTCACAACATGGCGGTGGCAGCAACAATAAAGTTACACCTTCTTTATTTGCCTGAACATTTGGGCGGTGTTATGCAAATCATCCCACACAGTGACGTAAACGTGGGGGCGTGTTTAAACGAGGCGTTTTAGGAGGGTGTGGACCAGTCTTAACTTTTATAAAGAATATCTCTTTGGGTTTGAGACTTTAGTCTTTGCAACTTTAGGGATCTTATCTATTCACGAACAGCTTGTAACACTCCAAAGAGAAAGGAAAACTTGAAATTGCATCAGACTCAAAAGCACATGCAAACGATACATTCCGTCATCTGTCCCGAGCGTCTTTCACCCTGAAAGATTTGCGGGAATATCCCACATTACAAGCACGGAAACTGCGGGAATCAGTAGAATTATGCACAATCCCACGCCAAAATTCAAGCCCTGGTCACTTCGGCAAACCCTTGCATTTTGTCCTTGCAGTGTATTGATATGATTGGATTTGAAATGCTTTCTGATGAAGCGTAACTTTGTAGGTGCCCTTGAAGTGAGCAAGTGTCCTCCTCAACAGCACTTTATCCCTTTCACACATCTTATTCATGACTTTGACTGTGATTAATGTGTTTTATCAAACTGACGCTTGGTAGATTAGTTTAGAAATGGCGTATGTGACCTTTTGAAAAGTGGCTATGGAAGTCCTCAGTCTGCTTGGACAGAATCCGCCAGTTTCAGCCATCTTTCAGATGTAACCTGCTCTGATTCGGCGTAACTTGTATGTATGGCTGATGTTTTTGGTGTTTTCTGCATGCAGGTCCGTCTCATAAAGACTCAGTGGAGCAGGTGGAGACAGGCACACTGCTGGGTGTAGGTGTGGAGGACCAGCAGCAGAGGGACTCTGTGTCCCCTCACAGCGCAGACTCTCCCATGTCCCTCTCCAGCCCTCAACAGCACTCCTCCGCTTCTTCTGCATCCTCGCTGTCAGGCAGTGATATCGTAAGCATCGTGTATAAATCTCAATTTTGAAAAATTGAACCTTATGACTGGTTTTGTGGTCAAGGGTCACATATGTATTTTATGTGAGTAGTCTGTTATGCTGTTATAAAGATCTCACTGATTTGCGTTACAAGCTATCAGAATTTCATCTTTTGCCCATATTAATATCAGCAACTGCACCAAACTGCATATTTTTGTATGAAACCAAGAAAGCCTGATGTATCAAAAATGATACTCAAAATATAAAAATCATGTAATTTTAAGATTGTGTGTAGAGGTTCAATACACTGTTTAACACAATTTAAAATAATAATAATAATAAATAAAAAAAATTCTGACTATTTCATATGTCAGACTTTTACAGATTTATTATTCCTTAGATTGTCTTTCCCTCTCACATATTTGACTTCTGCTCCTTCAGGACTCTGACTCCACACCGTATGTCGCTCCACCTGTAGCCCCCATCCCTCTTCAGACCCTGGCACCGGGTCCCCTGCCACCAGTGCTTCAGATGGGCACGGGCAAAGCCAGCATCGCGGCTGCACTCTCTATGCCTCCGGCCACCCAGGTGAGGGGCTGTTTTGGTTGGTAGCTAACTATGATGATGTTTTGATGGTTGGGTAACGTCCACTCTGTTTGTTTCTCCAGGCGAGAGTGTCAATCCCAAGCAATCTTTCTCTCCACGCTCTACCTGGCAGACAGGTGTGTATGGCAAATGGACTACCCCCATACCTCCACATGCTTCCCCCTGCAGTCCCCCCAGCTCCCCCCAGCCCTCTGCCCATTCCCTACCACCATCCCAAGGTAGGCAGTGTCCCGCGTGTGCTCTTCTCTACATGCTGTGTGTATCTTGACACTGATTCCAACTTTCCCTCCTCCTTCAAGACTACTAGTTTAATGACAAATTAAAGGGACGGTCCACTCCAGAATTAAATTTGACACCATTAACTCACCCTCATGTCATTTGAAACCTATTTGACTGACTGACTTCTGAAAAATTTTGGTGACCAAACATTCAGTTCCCATTGACTTCCATTATATTTTTTGACCATACAGTGGAAGTCAATGGGATCCGAAACTGTCATCTTTTGTGTCCCACAGAAGATAGACAGTCATACAGGTTTGGAGCAACATTATGGTGAGTAAATGATGACAGAATTTTAATTTTAGGGTGAGCTATACTTTTAATTAAGGTGGAAGAAATGTAATGCCCAACTACGTCAAATCAGTATCATCAACTAAATAACTTGCTCTGCCCACGTATCAATAATAGAAAAATACTAGGGGAAAAAAATATCACTTAAGTTGGAAAAAGATAAAGATGATTATTTTTTTTATTTTTTTTCACTGCATTTTTTTTCTTTCTTTCTTTCTTTCTTTCTTTCTTTAGTTATTGCAAATTTCCATGGACCCTTTTGTAGTCTCTTGTGGCCTACTGGTGATCCTTTTTAAAACCTCAAGTTAACTGACTTTGGAGTTGGAGAGCAACGTTTTGCTTTTACTGCATGTCAAAATTAAGAAAATGTCTTTTTAATATTATTTTTATATACGCTACTGTTAGTTATATATATATATAGTTATACTGTTATATACGCTATATATATATATATAAATTGTAGTATTAAATTTTTTTTATGAAACATTTTCTTATGCTCATCAAGGGTGCATTTATTTGATCAAATATACAGTAGAACAGTAATATTGTGTAATGCAATGTATAAAATATTTAGAAATAATTAAATAACATATTTTTGAATGTATTTTAAAATGCTAATTTGCTGCTCAATAAATATTTCTTATCAGTGTTGGAAACAGTTGTGCTGTTTAATATTGTTGTGGAAACAATGTTTTTTTTGTTTGTTTTTTTTCTCCCAGGATTCTTTGAATAGAAGTTCAAGAGACCAGCATTCGTTAAAATAGAAATCTTTTGTAACATTATAAATCTCTTTGCTGTCACTTTTGGTCCGTTTAATGTGTCCTTGCTGAATAAAAATAATTATTACTTTCCAAAATAAGTACTGTCCCCATACTTTTGAATATGCATTTGTTCTAAATTTTATATATTTAAAATCCAATTTATGTGTATGCTGAGCTCTTTTTTCAGTTGCTAGCATCGTCCTAATTTGCCCTGTCTTGTCTTATCTCCTGCAGACAGGTCCCAAGTTCCCTCTGAAGGGCTTCCACAATCCCGCCGTGGTGCACAGTCCTGTCCTTTCCAACCGAGGCCACATCCAATACAACCGCCACACCTGGCGCCGCAGGAAGAGGGACAGTCTGCCGGCCAGCGTCAGCAGATAAAGACCTCGGGCCTCCCCTCCGGAAGCTCCCTCTCCACTCCTCGCTTCCTCTTCCACCCCTCCGGTCCCATCTTAAAACGACGAGAACTCATTGAGCCCTCCTACTGATGGTGTGAGCACAGAGAGACCAGCGTTTGCAACACAGCTCCTCGTTCAGTAGTTGTGGTGATGGTGGTGCTAAGTAGTTCAGTCTGCCACTGAATCTGTGCATGTATATGTAGACTCGTATGTTTTTTTTGACCTGTGCAATCTTCCTGAGGAAGCTTCAAGAACAGGAACTGTTTTTTTTGGTCGTCTACTCCACAACTTCCTGGTTGACAGGTGAAACGTTCCTTTTTGTGTATGTTTGTGTGTGTGTTTCATGCTCTTTTGTTTTCCTGTCTACACATTTCGTTCTAAACGTGACACCTTTCACATGTGGGATGAACTGGATTCAGTGGATTTCAAGTTGTTTGTTTGTTGTATCGGGGTGTATGTTTGTGTAACGCTGGCTTCGAATCCTGCACTCGAGATGCCTCCAGAGCTCCCCACTGTATTGACTGTACACATCACAATAACTTCATTTCTGTATTTTTGCTCACTCTGGAAACATTTAATTTTTTGGTTTTGTTTCCTTCTTTCTTTTCTGTGTCCAGCATTTTGTTTGTTTTTGTAAAAATGTTTTTATTTTTGTACTGTTTTTAATTTTGTTCATCGTTTACAGATCCTGTCAGACAGGCTCAAGTCTGTTTTAAAACTGTTTTTGAGAATTTATATTCCCTCTTCCCCTTTTCTCGGCATAAATTGCACCTGGACGAGAGCGAGTTAAAGCGACCAGTGTCGATCTTGCCTAAAGGTGCCGCCATTTCCCACTTTGTGTTGAGCTTCAGAGACTCCTCTGTTGCTTTTATTCGTCTCATTCGTTCGTTTGTTCGTCTTTAAGGTTGTAGTTGTGTGACATTAAGGCTTTAGGACTTGGATTTAACAGATTGAGAACCGATAGACATCGGAAAACGCTCAAGCTCTTAGTCTGTACGCGCTTTCATTTGTGTGTGTGTGTGTGTCCTTTTTAAATCACTCTAGGTAAGTGTGAGACGTGAATTATTTTAGAGAAGCTCTAATGAACGTGCGAGCAGACTCCAGATCAGTGCAGCTTTATGCAAGGTGCCCTAATCGGACCTTTTCGACTTCTGAACGGGCACCCGAATCGGATTAGTGGAGAAAGGGGAATTTATTTTGATTCCATTCTGGAATCTTGACGTGCATTTATTGCCAGGTACTTGCGCTAACATATGCCTTTTTGGTAATTACCTATTCCTATACTGTACTGTATTGTGTTGTGTGTTTTGGGGGGGGGGTCTGTTTGTATATGGCACACTAAAACTGTATTGCTGTTGCTCGGAACATCACAGGCATACAGGTTATTGTTACTATGCAAGTGGAGTTTTGAAAATCTCTCTTCCTGTGTCCCTCACGACGACCGTTTGCTTGTAAATCTTGTGGAAAAACTCAACCGGAGTGACCGTTAACAGACCCAGGCCTGAGAGCGAGGCATCAAGGTACACGTGAACAGTTCCTGTATGCAAGTTCAGTCTGTTTTAATGGAGGAAGAGCAGCCAGACGTCTTGTCTGAGTAAATATTTCCTCCTGGAGATCAACCGGACTATTTTACTGCTGTTACAACACTACAACCATGTCTTGCGGTCTGTATGGAATGGCTTTGATTGCCACAAACTTACATGACGCATTTTACAAAGTCGTATCTGATACGGAGATTACGGATTGTCCTTGTAACTCTTGACTCGTCTGCCTATCAATGCAATAGGGCAAATGTAACTCTAATAGCAGTTTCTGCTTTGGATAGAACCAGCATCTTTTGCAAAATGGGTCAGACATTGAGGCAACACTCCCCCTCCTTCGGTTCACATAAGGACCTACTTTATCGGTGATTTATCTGAATGAAAATGGCTCCCTGTTTTTCCCGAGTGAATCTGTGAAGGTGTTTTGGAAAGATGGAAGTGTTTCACTCTGTAATGGTTTGACATTTGTGGTGATGTACTTGCTTGATACAGTGTGACACTCCTCATTGAATCTCAATGATGGATTTTAAATGTAACCCTTTTTTTTTTGCTGACGTCTGTTATGTCGCAGTGGCCAAAAGCACTCCTTGTCAATCCTTATACTGAAAGCCCTCAGTGTGGCCACCCAGCATCCAAGAGGTCAGACGGAGGAATTGTTTTTGTTTTCCTTCAATATTTTTATGTAATTTTTTTTTTTCTATTTTATTTTTTAAATAAACGTCTTAAAACCATGCATGCACTTGCTTGCATTTTATTTTTCTACATTAATTGTTGTTTGAATAAATGAATGAAATATTAAATCATGCTTTACTAGATCCGCACTAATGGCAGATGTTTGGCGATTGAAAACAATAGGATTGTGGCTGGTACTATTACTGATGTTTTACCACTAGATGGTGGGCTTGCACTTCATAAGGCAGAGCTCTTCAGTTTGTACTCTAAAGAGATAAACACGCTTATAACAAATTATTCTTATTTGCTAGTAAGGTCTGAGACTCCCACAATGATGTAAGTTTATGTGCATGAATTGGATAAAAAAAATAGTTGTCTTTAACCTTGTAATGCATGACATATGAAATGATAGTCTGATTTTTTCTTTTTTAAATGAAATAATTTATTGAACCTTTAGACAAAATATATATATATATTTTTAAAATGCATAAAAAGTTTGTATAAGTGTTGGTGGTTTGTGATTAAGAACCACTGTCATTGTTGAAATATCAAGCTTTTATGGCTCATATTTTATGACTCCAGGAAAAAAACACATCAGTTTTGTACACAGGCACAGACTCCGCAAAATATGCTATTTGGTGCAGATGCTGGTATTACTATGACCAAAATGTGAGATTAAATTCTTATAGATTGTAATGTTAATCAATGAGTTTTTTTTAAATTATATATATATATAGCAGTAGCTGTAAAAGACTAGGCTACTTACTTAAAATGCAGAAATATGTTACATAAAGCACTTTGTAAACACTGTTTTTAAAAGGTGCTATATAGGCTAAATAAAGCTTTACTTGCATAAATTTTCACATTTTAGGTATGATTAGGTGTATTGTATAACACAATGTAGAAATCTCAATTATTAACTTTTTATTCCCATAAATTCAAAATCCTTTTATTCTAAAATTCCAAACGTGACTTATGTTGGCCTATTGTTTGTTTGTTTTAAAATCTTGCTTAAACTACTACAAGCCATGACCACTAAATAAGTAAATATCTTAGCATAAATTAACTATTTAACAGTTAGGTGTGGGGTTGAATGAGTGCACTCCATAATGTCCACGGGTCTCTGGTGCGCGCGGGTTATAAGTGAATCGTTCACCCGATCGATCGATTCGTTCAGAAACATGATTCATTCGGGAGCGAATCTCTCTCTTCTGTGTGTTGCTGAAGACGCGCGAAGTTTCTGCTGCTCTGTCGTTTGGAGTTGTTTTCGTTGGCTGAACAAAAACGGTGCAGGTACCTGGCGAAATATTGGGTCTAAAAATGTGAAGTACTACTAAATATCAAATAGTTTGTTTACTGAACTTGGTACTTGTATAAAAGCAATGTTTTACACGGTGGTTTTACTGAATATTCGAGCGGCCTACGGTCGAATCACAGTAATAACGTTACAAGTGAGGAAACAATTATAATCCTGTTTTTCTGTTAAATTGGATATGCGATATTACTTGAAATGCTGACTCCAGCCTATAAGAGAAAATATGATGTTTTGCAACGATAGAATTTGTTACGTGCGTGTTTTAATTATCAACATGATCATTTAAGCTACTGTGCTTTAACCTGTTTTTTCTAACATTTGCTAAACAGGTTTATTATATTTTCTTTACCCTGTAAAGCCTGACATATGAGATAATAGTCAGAAACATTTTTTTGAAATGGAAGAGTTTGTTAAACCTTTATAAAACATCTTGCATGTTGTAAAATTGCATGCGTTTTTGTTGAGTATCATATTTGGTAGGCTACATCAGGTTTTTATGGCTCATATAATGTGATATAGGAGAATATGGATACATACACTTTAGGAAAAACACCTGTTTTATAATGCTGATATTTATATGGCCAAAAATGTAAATCAACGAGATCTTCATAACAGCATTACAGACAATACATATAAATATCAGTTGTCACTTGATATCTCCCAATAATATGTCTTAGTAAGATGCTTCTGTTTTAAAATTAAAGCTCTGTAGTTTTTTATTGTTGTATTGTTTTAATAGTTGTATTATAGATAGAGTTATTGTGTTTTATGTCAAAGCATATAATGCAATGCAATACAATACATTTTTATCAGAAGCCTGATATATCACATTTGATAGGCTACTCACATTTTAACATGATTTTTCAAAATAAATGATTAAAATAATGTATGCATAATCTATTAAATTTGATTCAGTCCAGTAAATATTCATCTTAAAATATTTATAACAATATAAATATTATTCTTACATTTACTTTATGAAAAAATGCACGTCATGACCTGAAGGTGAACATAAGTATAAACTATCAATGAGACGATGGCATGCAGTAGATTGTGAGCAACAGGCTTTTCAGCAAAGTTGTGTTCATGTTGATCAGTCTGAGGCCTTTGTGTTTCAAATATGATCCAATAGGCTTTATAGGGATAAGAGTGAATGTTTGCCATACATCGACAACCCTTACAAAAATGTACCATCACCATGGTAACTATAATTTAAGCAAAACATACCATAGTAACTGGAGTTCAGTTGTTAATGAAAACTGGAAAGTAGACGCAACTGTCATCAAATAAGAAAATACAATTCATCTTAAGTACGACTAAATGTCATGGCAGACGAAAAAAAATCTAATCATATTATACCATATTACCATCACATCACCTTTTTTATAAAAAACTTATGGTATTTTGACAGAAAATAAGGCTTTTAACTTTCTAGGTAAACACCCCAACATTTTTAATGCGTAAAAAGATACCTAAGGGATTGAGATAGGAAGGAAGAGGTTAAGAGAAAAGGACTGAAGTTGATAGAAATCGCTGCACCCTCATGATGTGAGATGATGTTTGAAGAACTCCAGAGAGATGATGGAGTCAAAGCTCACAGGACTGAGCAACTGGACCCGGGGCTGATAGGGAAGAGAGACGAACCAAAGTCTTCTCCAAAACACCTCCGAGCAGCTCCAGAAGTAATGAACCCTTGCGAAACGAAGGCTGCTGAGGCATAAAATATGCGTTGCTATTTTGAGAGACGTATTTGGAAAAAAATCGAAACTGTATATGCAGATAGATTTGGCCTCCTTTCTGCACAGAAATGTGTATAAACAGACTTGCATCATACTTCATGAAACAATGGGTTTGTCACCATATGAGCTGGAAACAGCCTGTTTTCTGGAACACATAGTAAATATGAGATTTCCAGTACCGGCATTGTCTCTTCTCCTCATGAGTACACAAAACCACAACTTCTCAATGACAAAAGATGTGTCATCTGAAACCGGCAGCTTTCCACGTTGCTTA